ATTAGTCTTCATTATTAAAGGGAGGGGTGGCAAGAACAGAGAGGAAAGGAATATTTGTTCTCACTAGGAGGCCTTATTTTGTTCCCATCTCTCTTTCATCTACCCTGATGTCTGGAAGAACTTTGACTTTGCGTGTATAAGGCAACCTCATTTTGACTTATTAAGCCAGAAACAGAAAAGAATGGCCACGTATAAAAATTGATATAAAATTTCTTCTTTCATATCTGGTTCCTCAGATTATACCTTATTTACTACTAGATGCCCAGTGCACACGATTCGTGCACTGGGAGGGGGGCTGGCCCCCCCTTAGCCCTGCCTGTGCCCCCTCACAGTCCAGGATACCCTCGAGGGGTGTCTGACTGACATGGAGGCAGGACAGGATCCACCACCACAGCACTCACCAGCCACGACCCCGGCTTCTGGCTTAGCACCGCTGACCACCAGGGGACAGCTCCTACATTGAGCCTCTGCCCCCCCACCCCCACCTTGGTGGTCAGTGCGCATCATAGCAACCTGCCATTCCACCGTTTTGGTCAGTTTGCATATTAGTCTTTTATTATATAGGATTATAAATGCCTGAGTCCAAAGACCGTGGCAGTGTAGGCAGTGCTGACTTAGACAACAGAATACTGGATGACATACTGCGATGTTTACGTTTTATGCAGAAGGACACGTTATCCTTTGCAGTGTTGGTTCCTTCCTGGATCCACCTCATGATGAAAAGGTAAGAACTTGGTCTTTGTCTAACTTGTGAATCAGTGCATATGGATTGAACATCTCTCTGTGCTAGACGTCACAAAATATCTGCAAGCCAAGACTTCCTACCCTCACATCATATATACACTAGGAAATAAGCCACGTGACAAAGAACACTGGTCTATCGGGAAAAGAAGGGGTGAGTGAGTGCGTGAGCGAGTGAGCGAGCGAGCAAGCCAGCCAGCCACTGGTCACTTTGCACCTACTTCGTGTTTTGTTTTGTGTGGGTTTTTTAAATATATTCTTATTGATTTTAGAGAGGAAGGAAGAGGGAGAAAGAGATGAAAACATCGATGATGAGAAAGAATTATGGATCAGCTGCCTCCTGCACAGTCCGAGCCCTCAACCCGGGCATGTGCCCTTGACCAGAGTCAAACCTGGGATCCTTCAGTCCACAGGCTGATGCTTTATCCATTGAGGCAAACCAGCTAGGGCTCTACTTCATGTTTTTGTTTATTTATTTGTGACAATCTATGGAGAAACCCAGAGCTTAAAAGAGTTTATACATCATTTAGCCCTCCACAGTCAGTTCTTATATCTTTTATATCTTTACAGACACTCGACTGAAATGTGACTGCAGAGCAGTCTCTGCAGTTGACATTAGTTCACATGATTAAGCAATGTCTTCAGGGGCCTGTGTAGGAGCTGTGAGAATTGAGAATAAGCCACCTCCTGAAGGAACTTACCCATCAAGCACCAGGATGTCTTTGAAAGAGAATGAGCTGGGCCCGTTACTTTTCATTCCTGTGATATAGGGTTATTATAAATAGCCCCCCCACCCCACACACACACACCACCACCACCAACAACAACAATAACAACAAGAACAAAACATGCCTGGATAAAATTTTAAAATAGGAAAAGTCTTTTTGTCACTGTCTCCTTTAGTCTCCACTTTTCCACTCTGCTTGCTCCTGTTTCTGATCATATTCTCTCTGACTTCCCCCACACCCTTTTTTTTAAAATATATTTTTATTGATTTTTTACAGAGAGGAAGGGAGAGAGATAGAGAGTTAGAAACATCGATGAGAGAGAGTCATCGATCAGCTGCCTCTTGCACACCCCCTACTGGGGATATGCCCGCAACCAAGGTACATGCCCTTGACCGGAATCGAACCTGCGACCCTTCAGTCTCCAAGCCGACGCTCTATCCATTGAGCCAAACCGGTTTCAGCTCCCCCACAGCCTTTATCCTAAGGCTGTTCTGTTCTTCCATCAAGTCATTTAGTAATTTTCAACTAAAGGAATTGCTAATCCTCAATTAAATGATAAATTGCTAAAGATGCAAGGTACTTTCTGTTCCAGGGATCTGTATAGATGAGCAAACATCTAAAAATTGAATTTTTTAAATATATATATTTTTTATTTCTGAGAAGAAGGACGAGAGAGAGAGAGAAACATCAATGAGAGAGACACAGCAAATGGCTGCCTCCTGCATGTTCCCCCAGTGGCAACCAACCCCACAATCTGGGCATGTGCCCTGACTAGGAATCGAACCGTGACCTCCTGGTTTATAAGTCGATTCTTAACCACTGAGCAACACTGGCCAGGCTACACATTGAATTTTTGAGATTTTAACAAGGAAAAGATGCACTCACTGGGGCATGGGCGCCATCACCTTCCACATATGCCCACACCATTCCCTCCTAAGCCGGCCTCTTCAATGATTGATAGTTTTCTCAAGATTGAATTTTGATCAGCATATACTTATGCCAAGGTATATGCTTTACCGTTGCCATCTAGAAATTCAAGCAGCTGCTTGCCTGGCGTGCTCATTCTTTAGAAATTGTTCAAGCGATCTACGTAGAAGACAAGCAAGTGGTGCTGACTGCCTCTGTGGATGGCTCAGTAAGGTATGGACTGCCATGCTGTTTGTTGTTGTTATTTCTGAGAGGAAGGAAGAGGGAGGGAGGGGAGGGAGGGAGGGAGGGAGAGAGAGAGAGAGAGAGAGAGAGAGAGAGAGAGAGAGAGAGAGAGAGAGAGAGACATCAGTGATGAGAGAGAATCATTGATCGGCTGCCTCCTGCATGCTCCACACTGGGGGTCAAGCCCACATCCCAGGCGTGTGCCCTGATGAGGAATCGAACCATGACCTCCTGGTTCATAGGTCAACACTCAACCACTGAGCCATGCCAGTTGGGCCTTTTTTTTATTTTTTATTATGGTATAATTTACATATAACATTAGTAAATGATTCAATATTTGTATATATTGTAAAATAATATACAGCATAATGATTCACTATTTGTACATATATTGTAAAATGATCACCACAATAAGTCTAGTTAACATCAAGTTTACCTAACATTCATTACCACAAATAGTTATTAAAATGTGTTTCTTGTGATGAGGATTTTGAAGATCTAGTCTCTCAGCAACTTTCAAATATACAATATAGTATCATTAACTATAGTCACCATGATATACAAGGCCTACTTATTTTTAATTGCCTAGGTAATGCTATATATGCATACATAAAATGCTAAAAACACAAATATATATCTATTAATAGCAATGTCGTGACATTTATTGAGACAAATTGTCACATATCAAAATGTTTTAAAATTATGGTGATGAATTGTCCTCTTAAGAGAATAAATTTAGGTAAGAGGTATCTAGGCTCCAAAGTATATCAGCGAGTTTAAAATAAATAAAAGATTTTACAACTGTTACCACAGAAACCCAAAGGATTATAAAAGAGCATTACGAATGGCTACATGCTACCAAATCAGACAACCTAGAAGTGGACAAATTTTTAGAATAATAAAACTTTCTTTGATCGAATCATGAAGAATTAGGAAACTTGAAATAGACTGACAGTGAAGAAATTAAAACAGTACTCAAAACCTCCCAAAAAAAGCAAAACACTAGGACCAGATGGCTTCCCTGGTAAATTGTACCAGACATTCCAAGTAGATTTAATACCTGCTTCCTTTAAAACTCTTCCAGAAGGAGTAGGCTTCTTAACTCATTGTGCAAGGCCAATATGACCCTGGCAACAAATTAAAGTGACAGGCTGACATCGCTGATGAACATAGATGAAAAAATCCTCAAAAGTATATATTAGCAAATCAAACCCAGTAATACATTGTAAGGATCTTACACCACAGTCAAGTGGGACCCATCCCAGGAATGCACGGATGGTTCAATGTGAGAAAATCAATCCATGTGAAACACGATTAACAAATGAAGTAAAACTATCAGTGTTTGCATATCACATATTGTTTATATGGAGAAGAGCCTAAAACTACAGAAAAAAAAAAATCACAAAACTGTTAGAAATAATAAATGATAAATGAATATAATGAAGCTAGAGGATACAAAATCAATACCCAGACACTGTTGTGTTTCTAAATACTAACAATGTACTATCTGAAAAAAAAAATTAAAAAAAGGCAATCCCACTTACGATCACAATGAAAAGAATAAAATGCCTAGAAATAAACGTACAAAGTAGAGGAAAGGGCTATACACTGAAAACTATAAGACACTGTTGAAATTAAAGACACACAGAAATGGAAAGACGTTTGTGTTCATGGATTGGAACAATTCACATTATTAAAATATTCCTATTGCCGAAAGCAATCTGCAGATTCGAGGCAATCCCAATCAAAATACCAAAGACATTTTTAGGGCAAAACATCCTAAATCTGTAGTATCATACCATAAAAGACCCCAATTAGCCAAAACAATCCTGAGAAAGAAGAACAAAGTCAGTGTGAGCTCTGATTAGCTTAATCGAGCAGTGTTACTTGGAGAAAAATCTGTTCCTTATTTTCTTGCTTATGATATCATAGGTACAAATTCAAACTGACATTTTCAGAGGTTGTTGTAGATTAGAACTCTAGCTAATAAAAATGTCTATGTTATGATCAGATCCATATATTTAATGAGAAGAGTTCTGGACTCAAGTTTAAAATCCATAATGAAAACCTTGTTGTTAACAAAATAACTTCCACTGGATTCCAGTGACGTTTTCCTCCCTATCCTTTGCCTTTCCTTAGGCTCTGGCATGCCCTCAATGGCCATTACTGTGGGTATTTTGGACAGCGAAGGCCCTTTGACCTAGCGCAGACAACCGATTTCATTTTGCCTTGTGATGTTAGTGAGTACCCCATAGAAATAAAAGAAGAGAGCAAGTTCACAGAAAGTAAACAAAAATATGACTACCCTCTGGTATTTGACCGGCAAAGGTAAGGCCATTGGATTTCCTTTAGAAAGCAGACAAGAATTAAGCTATTATCAGCTTTGTGCAGTGGCAGAATCGTAGCCAATGAGTTTTATCCAAGGCGTGATTATTGCTGTTTTAGAAATGATAATAATGATTATTGTTATTGTTATAATTATTAAACTACTAGAGGCCCTGTGCACGAAATTTGTGCACGGGGGGGGGGGGGTTCCTCAGCCCAACCTGCACCCTCTCCAATCTGGGACCCCTCGAGGGATGTCCGACTGCCCATTTAGGCCCAATCCCAGTAGGATATCCCAGTAGGATCAGGCTTAAACAGGTCGTCAGACAATCCCTCTCACAATCCAGGACTGCTGGCTCCCAACTGTTCACCTGCCTCCCTTCCTGATTGCTCCTAACCACATCTGCCTGCCAGCCTGATCACCCCCTAACCACTCCCCTGCCAGACTGATTCATGCCTAACTGCTCCCCTGCCAGCCTGATTGCCCCTAACTGCCCTCCCTTCCAGGCCTGGTCCCTCCCAACTTCCCTGCTGGCCGTCTTGTGTCCACATCAGGGCAGCCATCTTTGATTATGTGGGGGCAGCCATCTTGTGTGTTGGAGTGATGGTCAGTTTGCATATTACTCTTTGGATAGGATTATTATACCATAACACTGTGTGGGACATGAAAAATCCAAAGGTGAAAAACTCAAAACTTTTTAATAATTTCTCAATCCAGTGGGAGGATGCACAAAGATTTATAATTCAGGATAATAGAACTGCTAAGAATATCAGTTCCTAAGATAATCACAGAGGGACAAAGAGGATTTATCCAAATAAAAAAAGACCAAAGAGGCAATCGCCTAAGCAAAGGCACAAAATGATGAAACACTATTATAGCCAGTCATTCAAGTTCAGGGAGCAAGTAGAGAAGACAAGGTAGAAGATAAAGCAAGAAAAGTCTATAGATTTCAGAGAGGAAGGGAGAGAGAGAGAGAGAGAGAGAGAGAGAAACATCAAAGATGAGGGTTGATTGGCCACCACACTGGAGACCGAGCCCACAAACCAGGCATATGGCCTGACCAGGAATCGTAGGACCTTCTGATTCATAGGTCGAAGCTCAACCACATGGGGCACGTAAAGACTAAAGCAAAAAGAGCTTTTGTTATGGGCCAACATAAAGATTTTCAACTTCACTGACATCGTTGTGACAGAATATACAAGAGGAAAAGCAGGTCTGGAGAAAAACACAGTGTATATGATTGTCTAACCACTAAGCTATAAGTCTGAAACCAACACAAAATAAAACTGGGAGAAAAGATACTGAGTCTGGTTTTGGACAGGTTGACGTCCAAGATGCCTGTGGGGTATTATTTTTTAAATGAGGCCCAGTGCACGACATTTGTGCATTGGCGGAGGGTCCCTCAGCCCGGCCTGTGCCCTCTTACATCCCCTCAGGGGATGTCCGCAGAGGAGTCCTTAGCACTGTGCTCCCCAGCCATGAGCCCGGCTTCTGGCTGAGCAGCTCCCCCTATGGGAGCTCACTAACCTCCTGTGTTGAGCGTCTGCCCCCTGGTGGTCAGTGCAAGTCATAGCAACCAGTCATTCCACCATTCAGTCTATTTGCATATTTGCATATTAGTCTTTTATTATATAGGATGTTTTCAATGCTTAGTTATGGCTTTTTAAACATATGCATGAGTAAGTATTAACTAAACAGAACCTTCCCTGAGTCACCCAAATATCCAGCATTGGTTTGGTACCCAAGGTTTCCTCGTCCCTACCATGCAGTGTTTTTCCCAATGGCTACGTAATGGATTTAACAGTACGGAGTGCTCAGGTCCAGTAGAAATCCCTTTCGTTTGCCTGGAGAGAGAAATCTGGGAAGCCAACGGGAATGAGACTTAAGTACAGAGGTGGCATCGTGAGAGCCGGTGCCAGGGAGCCGGAGGGTGTGGGACTTCGAGGGAAAAGGTGTGGACAGGTGAGTAACAGCTTTTCTTATTTCCTCACATGCAGATGGCAGAGACTGAGCTCCATGGCTTTGCTTTTCAAGCGGACACCTTCCAAGCCCTTTAAAATAGAGCATGACTTTAAGTTTTTCAAGTCTCTTTCTTCTCCCAAGGTAATTCTTTAAAAATTAAATATATATATATAATAATATATATATATATATTATTATTATTATTATTATCATTATTATTATTGATTTTCTTCATAGAGGAAGAGAGAGGAATAGAGTTAGAAACATTGATGAGGGAGAATCATCAGTCAGCTGCCTCTTGCACATCCCCTACTGGGGATGTGCCTGCAACCAAGGTACATGACCTTGACCAAAATTGAACCGAGACCTTTCAGTCCACAGGCCGACGCTCTATCCACTGAGCCAAACCAGTTTCGGCCCAAGGTAATTCTTAAACATCCAACAAGAATACTGTAGTTTTCCTGAATTGACATTGGTACAGTGTATTAATTTGCTCCTGCTGCTTTGACAGATGACTACAAACGAAATGGTTTAAACAACACACATGAATCATGTGACTGTTCTATAAGTCAGAAGTCAGACCTGGCCCAGCCAGTGTGGCTCAGTGGTTGAGCATCAGCCTGTGAACCAGGAGGTCCTGGTGTGATTGCTGTTCAGGGCACATGCCCAGGTTGCGGGCTTGATCCCCAGTAGGGGGCATGCAGGAGTCAGCCAATCAACGATTCTTTCTCATCATTGATGTTTCTGTCTCTCTCTCCCTCTTTCTCTCTCTGAAATCAAGAAAAAGTAAAATTTTAGGAAAATGGCAAATACTTGCCTAAGTTCTGAATATATAGAATAATATTTATGTTTACAATATAACTTTTTTAAACTCTCAAATCAGGATTACATAATAAAAATTCCACTAAGAAACTCCAAGGTTCTTAAAATTGCCAGTGATTAGATTAAAAAAAAATAACAATACCATTTCAGAAGAGCACAATATGCACACAAAAATTTTCAAAATGAAAATATTTTCCTGGGCATTAAAATTTTTTTTACTGTTGGCTAATTATTGTTACTGATTTAAAAAAAAATACATATTTTCTGGACTTAAATGTTATTACAGATATGTTAATTTTCAGCAGTTGTTTTGCACTTTCAAGTAGATTGTATATAGTTCATTCAGTCGATGGTATAGTTATTTATTTGCTACATGATAGGTATTGTGCCAAATAATTACTTTTTATTTATTTAGTACGTAATTTTTGGGTACATTTCTTCCTGTTTTCACAATTAAGCTGCATTTTATGTGTAGAAATTATATATATATCTTCTGTAAATAACAGTTAGTATCTTCATTAAATACAGTTGTTGGGGGGAAAGACTTGTCTAGTGGCAGAGTCAGAAGTTGAACCCAGGAATGTTGCCGCTTATGGGAACGTGCCCTTTTCATTAAACATCCGCTCCTCCGTTTTACAGATTCTCAAACACCCCTTGGAAGGCTTCATGTCTGAAAACAAGGAGGCGGGGATTGTTTTTGGGTCTCTGCCTATATACAGGGTGAGTTGACTTCCCAGGACTGGAGCGGTGGCGGGACAGTAGGGAATCTCACATCTCATTCCGGGCCCCGGGCTCCCGAGCCAGGTTGGAGAAAGTTCACATCGCCAGGCTGACGGATGTCTCCTTTACCAGGCCGTGTCCGACCCCAAGAGGCCCTCGGTCTGTGTGTCAGTCAGTGGCTTTGATCTGCCTTCCTCGTGGAACAACACCATGGGGAACGGCTTGGAACTTGATCCTAGCTCTTCATTACCTTTCAGCCCGGCATCCCCACCTTTCACGCTCTGGCCCCCACCTGACCCATGTGCCCTCATTTCCACCACCTCCTCCCATGACCCCTCTCCTCCAGCTGAGCCAGACAGTGCACTTCTCCCTAAGCATCAGCGTGCCTTCCTCCTCGGTGACTTTGCCTGTGCTGGCCCCCTTCCCAGAATCCACCCGCCCCTTGTTTCCTTCCAAATCCCCCTCCTCCTTCAGGTCTCCATTCTAGATCACCTCTGTCAAATGAAAGAACCAATCGATTAACCAAGAGTAATAACGTGAAGATAAAATATTTCAATTTAATTCTAACTTATTATTTCTTAAAATGTTACCCCCTCCTTGCCCAAAACGCCTTCATGGTGATGAGTATCAAACTCTGAAGCTGCAGGTTGATGCTGAGGGTGAACTATTAAGAATTAATAGCGGGGCCCTCGCCGGTTTGTCTCAGTGGATAGAGCGTCAGCCTTCGGACTGAAGGGCCCTGGGTTTTTTCTTCACTCGAGCATGTACCTCCACCTCAGGCTTGATCCCTGACCCTGGTTAGGACATGTGTGGAAGGCAACCAATCAGTGTGTGTCTCTCACATCAGCATTTCTCTCTCTCTTTCTCTTGTTCTGTCTCTCCCCCTTCCCTTCCAGTCTCTCTAAAAATCAATGGGAAAATATCTGAGGGTGAGGATTAATGAAAATTAAAATAAAATAATTCATTGTGGGCAGCTAGGACGGGGAGTATATTTTAAAGCAGTTGGAGCATCTCATTCCCTTTCCTGCCCCCTCCCCCCTCTCCCCACCCTGAATTCACATGAGGAAGTAATCACTTGAGTATGTCTTACTCTTTGCTTGTGGCTCGCAGGTACCAAGCCCTACTAGTCTGAAATTCCTTCCGCTCATTGGCTCAGAGGTCATAAAGGAGTCTTCTGACGGCATTCCAGGAAAGAAGAAGACAGGTCATGTTCAACATGAAAAAGTAAGTCAGCACTTGGAATCCACGGTACATCCCATTTCTGCTTGAATTGGGATCGTCTGCACCTAAATGAACAACAGGGAACAAACACAACCAACCAACAAAAAGCTGCTTTATCTATATATATAAAAGCCTAAGCTATTGGCCCACAGGCTGGTAGCTGTGACGAGCACTGGCCACCAGGGGGCAGACACTCAATGCAGGAGCGGAAACCACAGGCAGGGAAACATGGAACAGACTGATGAATCTCAGAGGGAAGAAATTAACCAAAGATCTTATATGCATGCTACAGGCCCTGTGCGTGGATTCATGCACTGGTGGGGTCCCTTGGCCTGGACTGCAGGGATCAGGCCAAAACTGGTTCTTCGACATAACCTCAAGGGGGTCCCAGATTGTGAGAGGTCTCAGGCCAGGCTGGGCGACCCAACAGTGCACAAATCCACTCACTGGGCCTCTAGTTTAAT